CCACGAGCATAAAAGAGAGCTTGGCCTCGAGGATTTGATGAGAGAAACCGCTTCTAGAGTCCCTATTATCGTGATCTATACAAGAGAGAGTTTGTTTCTTGTACTGTAATGGTGGAACATGACGTAAATTTCGACGAGGTACGCAATTCTTTTATCCTTGTGAATTTTGAGTCAAAAGGGTGGATTGGACTATTTTGTGGCCTTGTGCCAGCGAATGTTACCGTGGTTACAGAATTTTATGCACACATTAGGAACACTACAATCAGTAGTGAGTATTTCGTGACATACATCCAAGGTGTGTTGATTTAGTTCTCTGTAGACTTGATTGCCACCACCCTACAACTACCCTTGGTCGCCAATGATGCCTATCATCACAGGCTAGATAGTGTAGTGCCCAGGCTCAGTCATGTTGCATCTAAGTTATATGGATCCCCATATCCTGATGGTTGGGACTAACAAAGATGGTTTCACAAGGACGTTTATCTTTTGGTTGCTTGATCACTCAAATTTATGTGAATAAGGGCGTAATTGCTTTGGAGACTGATCAAAAAAGGAAACCAAGAAGACCTATTGGGAAGGAGTCATTGAGGCAACGTGAAACAAATGCGACTTATGTATTTAACCCCATGGAGGTCGAAATGGAAGAAAAAGAGATGGAGGGTGACCCAGGCCTGAGATGTATGCTCCTACTTCTAAGCCGGGACCACCAACTAGTGACCCCATCAAGGCATGCACATGCCAACTTCATGTGCCACATCACACTAGGTTGCACCCACTACTTCTCATGCTCAGTGGACTATTATTATGGATGCATTAGGTAATGTTCAGATACAAGCTGTTGAATCAGTTTCTCACACAACATAAATACAAAACCCTAAAAGTCCTAAATTACTAGAAAAATCAAGCAAATAGGTAATATTACCAAAATGTCTCAAACAGCGGGATAAAAAAAGAAGTGCCCTAAATGTCATTTTTTTGGCTTAAAAATGACTAGTTAAAAGATGCATCTTTCAACCTTGCCCAAATCGTTGTGAGCTTTTTAAAATGGGGTCTTCTGAAAATTTTTGACACTGTCACCCAGAATCAGCCCAGATTGACGCCCGATCAACATTGCTTTCAATGGTCTTGATCTGTCATGTTGTCTTTTACTATATATCATGCATCAATTAGGTAGTTGGGCTCCATCAATATATATGTTATTATAGTTGTTTGTTTATTTCAACAAATTGGTCCATGTGCAGCGCACATGTGCACCGACTAGTATACCAAAAAATGAACATACATACACTGATACACCAAAATATAAACATACACACATTTGTACCCGTTAACACACACACCTCCCTACCCGACCCTGGACTCGATCTTGACCCTCGGATACTGACCCAACCCCGGACCCCGATCCCTACCCTGATCTAGACCAGACCCAAACTCGAATTTGGATCCTGACCCCCATACCCGGATTCAGACCCCGACCCAGACCCCAAACCCCAACTTGGTGTATTAGTGTTTGTGTGTATATATTTTTGGTGTATTAGTGTATGTTTGTGTGTATTTTGGTGTATTAGTATGTGTTTGTGTGTATTTTGGTGTGTTTGTGTGTGTGTTTGCACGTATTTTGAGATATTAGTATGTAAGTGTGCTTTGGTGTATAATTATATGTGTGTCTGTATTTTGGTGTATAGTATGTGTGTGTGTTTGTATGGTTTGGTGTATTAATATGTGTATGTGTGTGTATTTTTTTGGTGTATTAGTGTGTATATTTTTTTGTGTATTAGTATGTGTTTTATTTGATATATTAGTATGCGTTTATATTTTGTATATTTGGAGTTTTAATTATTTTTACGGGTTAATGAGTTTAACTCAACCCATCGTAACTCATTTATTAAGCAGGTTGAAAATGGATTTAACTAAAATTGCTAAATAAAACATTGTTCTCCATCAAAATTTTTGCATTCCATAAATAATATTGAATGTTGCTTGGTTGAAACATTTGTTATCAATTTAATCCTAAACCTCAAACAGGAAATTTTAGATTTGTATTTTGAAATTAATAGTTGAGGGATCAAAGAAATATTTTTTTTTTCACGTAAGTTAAGAAACGGGTGCGTATTTAGTCAAATGTTGCGTGATATATTTTTCTCTTTTAGTTTGAACATGGATCATTGAGTTGATCATATAAGACACCGATTCAATAGAACAAACACATATTTTTCTCTTTTAGTTTGAACATGGATCATTGAGTTGATCATATAAGATACCGATTCAATAGAACAAACACACCCTAAAATTTATGTAGGTGAGTAAAAAAAATATATGTGTAGTCTTTTGTCGACGGGTCAGTTGTAAAATCTATACGGTCAGTTTTGAAGTCTCTTTTCAATTAATTATTATTACAAGCAACGACAATAGACGAATGCAGCTAAGAAAAAGGTGGTGCTGCGAAAGTGTGTCAAAAGCATACGTCCCGAAATTCAATATCTTGACAGACGTAAAAAAAAGACTAAAAACAGCAGCACACACTTGTTTACTTTTCCTTATTCAACATTCGAATTCAGTAAAGAGGTAAGTTAAGTTGGGAATACATAGCAGCCACTCCCTAGTATAATACGCTTTAATCCAATGGCTTAGGAGCAATGCAAATTGAGTGCAAATTTATTGATATAATTTGTTGAATTAATGAAACTTTAGCATTAGGTAGGACCTAGTTCCCACAAAAGGACTGTGATAGATTATGTTTCAAGTAGTAATATTAATGGTTAATATGCCTTAGGTTCCGAAATTAAGTCCCTAGTAAGATTTCAGGAGTATTACTGAAACGAAATTTAGATCAAATTGATTTGCTTAATTTTTTATTTGGCGCTAAGTTGTATGTAATTATTGTAAGAAATAATTTAAAAGTTTTAAATATGTTATGCCATCAATAAATCTCCGTATTAATTTCGTCATGATGTTATGTCAAAGCGACTGATCAAAAAATTGATGTTATGTCAAAGTGGATCCAAATGAGAGCTCAAGTCAGTCCAATAAGTTAGATAGTCATGATGATAACTTATGATTAAGGGCAAAAGTAAGATTTGAGCGAAATCATTATTAAGTGGTATATGATAATTATTTAATGTTATAGAACCTTACAATTATCACGCATTCATTTGGCAAAATTTTTACTTGGATGATTGCTGTAAAAATAGTTCAAAAAAAAAACCTAAAAAATTACCTAAAAAATTATGATTAGATAAAAAAAAAGGACCATTTTCCTCCTTTTATGCCTGGTCTCTCTCTCTCTAAGTGTGCAACTTGGGTAGGTTGGATAGGTTAAATATATAATCTTCAACCCAAATTCTACATCAACTCAGGGTATTCAACCCAAATATTATCCGAATTTAATTTGGACGGGTTTTGGTGGAATTCGAGTTACTTAATTCAGGTTAATTTTAGGTTAAAAATTGAATTGTGCTTAGATTACTTAATTCGGGTTGATAATAGAGGGAGGAGTGAAGAGTGAAAGAGTGATCCTGAGAGTCTGAGACCAAATGAGAGACGAGTGATAATTGAGCGAGAGATTTGAGAGTGATGAACACGCAAGGATAAAGACTTGAAGTGAAGTGAAAGTTTGAACTCTGAGAAGTGAAGATAAATATTAACTTTAGTTAAATATATTTATATATTTATGTATATTCGAGAGTTGAACCAGGCAACCCAAGACTTGCTCAAATTCAATTAAAGTTGGAGTTTTTTTGCCACACCCAACCCAAGTATTAAAAATTCTAACATAAGTCCTATTTTTTTCAAGATGGACTTGAGTAAAATTCAAGTTGACTCGTCCAAATTACACCCCCCTCTCTCTCTCTCTCTATAGACTCTATTATCCCATATCACTTACTCATTAGTTATTAGGGGGCTGTTTGTTTTGAGTATTAGATTTAGGTGGTATTAGAAATCATTTTTATTCTACTCCTATACAATGGTATATTATACCTGGTATTAAACTATAAACTCATCATTCCCCTTGTTTGTTTTTCACAAACATTATATGTGTATTATCTATTTAAAAAAATCAACAATTGTAACTATGAGTGGTAAAAAGATAATTATAACCTTATAACCTTAGAAAGACAATTATACATGAAGACATTTGTGTCATTTTAGTCTCTTATATCATCCTTTCATTTGTACTGGAAAGATAATATTACATAATAAATGGTATTCAATAGCACCGTATACAAGACATTTAAGTCACTATTTATGCCGGGTCGGTATTACGATCCAAAAAATAATATCAATAATAAAATATCAAACAAACAAAATATAAAATGGACCTTATGTACTATTTCCCTAATATTGTACCGCTCTAATACTTCAAACAAACAGCCACTAAATTTACTCACTCCGTCTGCATGCCAGAGTAGACTAGTCAATGACATCAGCAGTACACATTGGACTTCATTTCCCTTCAATTTTTTCTTCTTAAAATTTGCTATGAATAGAAAATGAATCCACATATAAATTATAAACTATTTTTAAATTCATAATCGGTAATTCACCATATACATAATAAAAAGAATTATTCTCGATGTTGTGTTTATAAAAAGTATTAAAAAATTATTATATCGGCTCCAGACGCCAAATACACATGTGGGTGGATACATGCAAATAATTTTATGCACCAAATACTATATTATATTAAGATGGAAAAACATACTCATACACGGACTCGTCAAAATAAGGGTTCAATAAAGACTTTAAATAATATGCTGTCATATCATTTGAGCTCCTAATTTGATCAACATAACATTATTCTTATATCATTTAATATTTTGACGTGGCACTTTGAAAATTCAGCAGTTTTCATCGCAGCCTACCTCCCAGGAGTCTATAAAAGGAAGATCATTACTCTCCTTTCGACCACCACCTTCACTTGATCTCTTTGTTCGATCATTTCACTTCTTCTTCTTCTTCTCGTATAATTTTGGCGACTGTACACCCGAAAGAAGTCGAAGATGTTATCGGCCGGGTTGTGTGTAGTGGCAGCACTGCTTGTCGTCTGTGTCACTCACTGGATCTACAAATGGAGGAACCCAAAGTGCAAAAACGGAGTCCTCCCTCCTGGTTCCATGGGCCTTCCTTTCATTGGGGAGACCCTTTCTTTGATCGTTCCCAGCAACTCTCTTGCCCTTCACCCCTTCATTAAAAAGAGAATTGAAAGGTAATGCAACTTGGTTCTGTGTGTTCCAAGTGATCATTACATCTATTCCTCTGCTGCTTGTTTGCAATCTTTTTATCGTTTCAAATAGGGAAGGAGAGAGAGCGGTAAATGAAAAATTATTTCAATTATTCGATTCCCACCTACAAGGAAAGCTCACCAATTTTATGTTCCCAACAAATTCTAGACACCTTTTCTAATTATTCCTGCGGACTTGTGATTTTTTTCAGTATTATAGCAGCACATGTGCCTGATATGTTGTATTTGATGGAAAAATCTTGTAATAGTTGATATACATAATTCTTTTACTTTTTGGAAGAAAGCATTACAGCTTGACTAATATGTATTTTTTCCATTGAAATTTCAGATACGGGCCGGTTTTTCGAACAAATGTTGCAGGCCGCTCTCTCATTGTAACGACAGATCCTGAATTCAACTATTTCATTATGCAACGAGATGGGAAGTTAGTAGAATCATGGTACTTGGATGCATTTGCTAAAGTTTTTGCACAATCTGGAGAGATTCAACCAGATACGGCCTACATCCATAAATATGTGAGAAATACCGCTTTGCGTTGGTTCGGCGTGGAGAGCCTCAAAGATAGGTTGCTTCCTCAGATTGAAGTATTGGCTAGGAAACTATTGCCAAGTGGTCAAGCAAGGAATCGATTGAAGTGAAAAGCGAGGCTGCAACAGTAAATTTCTAACTTATGCTCGCGCTCACTAAGAAAACTATACTAACATGCTAGGTATGATACTAACATTTCTAAGTTTTACCGCGCAGGTGAGTATAGATTTTGGTGCACAACAA